CCCCAATGCAGTCGGGAACACTGGTGTGGTGGAGCCCCAGTTTCCTTTTGAGAAAACCCTCTGGATGCATGGGACCCAAGGGAGACCAAACAGCAAACGATGGGTCCTGACCCAGGCTATTGTCTGGCGGATGCCTGAAGGCCGTCGGCGAAACCGGATTCCTCACCGCCCCGCTTGGGTAGCTGGTAGAATTCTCTATGGCCAGCCTCTTCCTTTGGGAAATGAGTGGAAAAGCCCAGGACTGATCCCTCGCATATCCTCCCAGGAGTGATCCGGGAGACTTCCAAAGGGTCCTCCCTCACGGGTTCCCAACTGCAGTGGACGGTGGCCCTCTACCTGCTTCCGATTCCGACACTCCGGCCACGGCTCACTGCCCAGGTCTCATTTTTCACCTTTCATTTTCAAACATCTCTTGTGGAGCAGAGAGCAGGACTTGCTTCAACGCCTTCTGGGCTCACCACCCTCCTCCTGCCCCTGATGCCCACGGTGGTGATGGGAGAGAAGACATTTGGCAGGCTCCCACAAGATGCGGATGCGAATAAGAACCAACTGGCTCTGCTTAGTCTACTCAGGACAGGGACTTGAAGGAATATTCCCTAGCAGCTGCCCAAACTCCTCTTGTTTCAGGGAACGTCCCTGTCCTCTCCAGCCCGACATGGACTCCCCATTCCCACAGTGGTGGAAAAAAAATGTGCATCTGCTCACCTGTCCAAGCTGACAGGCTTTCGGACCAGGTGTCCTCTCGTTGTCTGTCCTCTGGGCTTTTATCTGCCTCCAGGCTTCCCGGACGAATCTCACCTCTTCAGCCCTCCCCTCCCTCCCCCTGTTTCTGCACCTCCTTGGGTGCAGCCTACCAACTGTCTCCTATACCTTCCTCGGTGTCCCAGGCGCCACCAGCTCCTCCTCTCACCCTCCTGTCAAGGAGCAAAGAGCACCCACTTGGACTGCCCACTTCAGATCTCCCCACTGGTGCCCCAGATAAAAACTGACAACGGAGAACAAATTGATTGACTTTTAGGTGAATGCAGGTGAAACTCATTCGAGTTTCGACGTTTAGGCTATTTTAAGTTTGTTGGTTTGAGACAGACCTGTTTATCAGTATTAAATATAAAACTTTTTATTCTATCTAGGTTTCCTGGAGGTCAAATAGGTTCATGTTATCTCCATTCCACTTTGTTAGCAAAAAGATGACTAAAATGATGGTAAATTCTGCCTCAAAGTTTTCATGGGTAATTGTTAAGATGCCTTCCAGTCTTTGGTACCCTGAAACTTTTATAAAGTTTTGCTTGCATGATAAATGGGATTCAATTCGTTGGACGTCCAGGTCTTTTCCAAACAGACTGGAGTGCTAAAGCATTGATTACTTAACATAGGTTTGAGCTTCTGACTTCTCATCGCTAAGGCTGATGAGAAAAACTAAGGCTATTTGGGTCTGTTGGTAGACATGCTTTGTGCTTAAGTGGCTCACGAATTTGCCATCCAAAGAATTCTGGTGTGACAGTTCACAATTGGTTACCAAGTTTTCACTGGAGACTATGGTTTCTAAGAGTTAAAATTCCGCTAAATGTAGTTAAGGCTGATGGGAATAAGGAAAGCAACTCAGTACGTAGAAAAGTAGGAGAAGTGTAAGAAAGATAAGGAAAGAAAATACATTTTTATTGGAAGGCAAAATAAAGTAATTTTGTCTGGTTATCTGGAGAGAAATGGCTTGGGACAAAATGTGAATGCAAAGGAAAGTTGTAGAAGGTTTGTGAAGGGAAATCTCTGGAAAGGAATTTTATGTGTGGTCAAGAAGGACTAAGGTTAAAATGAACGGATTTTAAAAGAACACGGGGTTAAGATTAAAACTGACCCTCCCTTGATCCAAAGACTGGAAAACAACGGCGATACCCTCGATACCCTTGGTGCCAGCCTCCAAATGCTCCATGTTTGTTGTGCCCATTTAGCACAGGAATGGACGCCTGTGCCATACGAGGGATGATCATGATATACAAAGGGCTTTTACTGGGATACAAGGGCCATTCTGCTAAACTTAGCCCAGTGTATGCCAAAAATGGATACCCACATGGCTGGAACATATTTATTCGCGCACTGCTGAAAAAGGCAGTGGAACAGACCTCATCTTTAGCCCTTTTAGCCCCCCACAATGGCCGATGATCAATATGTAAATTACTGTTGGGTCAAAATAAAAGTAGTGCACGTTTCCAAAACCAGGAGAGTCTTGCGTGGTCACAGTCCGTACTCCCAAGGTCCCAGGTAGGAGAAATCAGGGAAGGCCAGGTCAGCTCTCGGAAGTAGGATCAAGCCTGGGTAAGAGCAACTACTCCCAGCAGCTCGAGAGACTGACAGGGCTTCTGGCTGCCGATCCCGTAGCCAGCCAAAATGCGGGGTTAGAAGATGAGGTTT